TAGCGAAAAAAACCTCTCCAAAAAAAAAAAAAAAAAAAGAAACCTCATGGCAAAGGACATCTGTTCAAAACAAAGTACTTCTTTTTTAAAGGTTTTTTGCCATAGGGATTATGTACCCACTGGAGAGGCAGAGTGGGAAAACAAGAAATAACCTCCCAGGGGTGACTGGACATGCCATAATCCCTCCTCCTCCATTCTTTCGGGATTTGAGCACACATGGCTGGCATGATTTTCAAGCCACCAGGTCTGGAACTTGAGCCATGGTGTCATGTGGGAATCCAGCACATCTTAACTACACCACCACCTGCTGGCCCATATAAAGTACCTTTCAGGGGCCTCTATTCCAGCCTATGTCAGAAGCAATTATAACCACAATGATGGATATGCTGAGTCATAACTCACATATCTCCTCATCCTTCAGTTCTAAATATCAATATAATATAGAGAATTACTCTTTATTCAGATAAAGTTGTTTACATTATCCCACAAAGAAGCTACAATGGACTCAAATGAAAAGATGCAATGATAAACCAGGTGCATTCTCTTAGCTCTCCAATGAGGGCTTGACAAACTACCTAACCACATTTTACTTTTCTTACTTTTTAAAAGGTTTTTTTTTTTTTTTTTTTTTTATGACCATAGGGTGAACAGGCTTGCACTTCTGTTTTCCTCTCAGGATTTTAGGGGCACACATGAGTGAGCATGAAAAAAAAATATATATATATATTTTTCCCCCCAAGGTGCCGGGTCCTGGGCTGAAACTGCAGAGTTGGCCATGTAGGATCCAGCTCCTTAACTGCTACGCCATGCGCTGGCCCCAAAGTACCTATTTCTGTATAGCTCAAGGATTACATTTTTTTGCATTCTGAAGAGTTGTTTAAAAAGAGAATATGTAGACCCAGCAGTTGAAAACCATGATGGGCACCAAGTATGTGCATATGTGCCCAAAATCCCAACAGGAAGGAGAGATGGGGAAGGGACTGAGGTGTGACCACTCCCTCATGGAACTTGCTGTCTCACTTTCTCTCACTCTCTTCTCTCACTCTGTCTCTTTCTAGCAAGTACAAGCACTCTCTGGCAAATTAAAAAGGAATATGCAACAAAGATTATATGTGGCTCTTAAAGCCTGGAACATTTTACCATCTGACCCTTTATAGAAAAAATTTTCATTCCCATGTAAAGTACTTAAAAAAAAAGGGAATTATTTATCCAACTTTATTTATTATTATTTTAATTCATTAGAGACAGAGAGAGAGAGAAAGTGAGAAAGTAAATACCCAGGTCTGGGACTCAAACTGCAGTTGGTCCTGTAGGAGGTATACCGCCTTAGTCACACCACCTGCTTACCCTGTAAAGTACTTTTGAAGGCTGAGTTCAGGTAACAAACCTAACATAAAAGTGGAGTATTTCCAACAATTAGCACACATGTAGTTGTCTTGTTTTTGTCTTGTATGGTGTGTGGGCAAGGTAGGAAGAGAGGGAAACTGAGAAGGCACCTCCAGCGGAGGATGGCCAGACAGAAAGTCCTTCTCCTCTAGTCTTCTCAGGACTTTGGGCATGCACAAACATGCACCCAGCATGTCTTTCAAGTCACTAGGTGCAGGACTTGACCTGCAAAGTCAGCCATGTGGGAATCAGCTGCCTTAATCTCCATACCATCTGCTGGCTCCACACAAGCAATTCATATACCACGAATAATTCAGACACTAAAACCATAATAAACGGTGGGGAAAGAAGTAAAAACTTAACATCCTATTCCTACTTTGCATAAATACTGACAATTATACAAATATGTACTCACCATTAGCCTTCAGTGAAGACAGGAGGCAAGCCATCATGCTTTTGGCCACACTTGGGTCAGTTACTTTTTTGTGAATATCCATCTTTATCAGAGAAGGAAAATTGGCAAGGAAAGTTTCTGGCAACACTTCCTGTTCTTCATGGAAACTCAACATTATTTTCTGTAAAATTCAGAAAGAATCTCTTGACTTTCGATAGCTGATCACGTATCAATCAACTAGAGAATTCAGCAAAAGTTGTAAATAACACTTCCAGTAATTATATAATTATCATATGCAAAATTAATTAGCTTATAATTTAGCTGAAACATTGTAATTTTTAAAAAGTTTATTTGAATGTAATGTGGTATGCTGGACTGGACGATACTAGAACAAAAAAATTACATTAATGGAAAACTGGCTAAAAAAAAGTTTGGAATGTAGTTTAATAAGACTTGACAAATGTAGAGAATGGGTGCAGAGGGAGCTGGCAAGTGGAGGAGTGGTGGTGAAGTCACTGGACTCCCACATGGTCGACCACTGATGAGTCTCAGACCTGGCAGCTTGCTTTCTTACTTCCCTTTCTCTCTCTCTCTCTCTTCTCTCTGGTCAAGTTAAAATTTAAAAAGTGGGTGAGAAATATATAGGAGCTCTTCATTAATTTTACAACTTGGTCAGTTTTTGCCACAAGGTATACATACTCCTGGAGAGAGAGAGAGAGAGAGAGAGAGAGAGAGAGAGAGAGAGGAGGAAAAATGGGAAATCACCCTCCAGGAGGGAATGGCCACACAGCAATTCTTTCTCCTCCACTCTCCTTTCAGTATTTTGGGCACACACTGTGCCTGGTGTGATTTTTAAGCCACAGGGTGGATCTGAGACTCCAAGAGGAAAGTCAGCCAGCTGTGTAGAATTCCTGCACTTTAACTACAAAACCTGCTGGCTCCCTAAAAAAAATATATTTTTTTTTGGAGAGATTTTTGTTATATGGCATTGAGCATTCTTGAGAAAGAGAGACAAAAAGCAAGAAATCACCACCCAAGGGAGAAGGCCGTGCCGTAATCCCTTCTCCTCCATTCTCCTCTTGGGACTTTGGGAACACATGTCCACATGCCCAGCCTGAGTTTTAAGCTGCCAGGTCTAAGATTCAAATGGTGGTTAACCAAGTGGGAGACCAGCACCTGAGCCACTATGCCACCTGCTGGCCCCCCTAAAAATTTTTTAAAACGATGTTTACTGTTTTCTTCTTGATTACAAAGGGCTCATGTACTTGCTGTAGATAGGAAGACAGAGGGAGAAAGCACCTCCCCACACAATAGAGCACAGCCCCACTGCAATCCATTTTCCTGCATTTTTCTCCATTTCAAAAAATAATTTTGGGTGTGCACACACTTACACCTGGCATGTTTCTCAAGACACCAGGGCTGGATCTGAACCATGATCAGCCATGTGAGATCCAGCACCCTGAATCATTTAAGCTATGATGTTCTTCAAAGTGCTTTTTAAAAAAAACTAAAACAAAACTGATGTATTATTTACACAAAAATGTGAATGTATAGTATATGGCACTACTATAAGAGAGAATAATGCGGGACTGGGACCAGCAGATGGTGTAATGGTTACGTTCCTAGACTCCCACATGGCCGACCACAGTTCAAGTCTCAGACCTAGACGCCTCAAACTCACACCACCCAAAACCACAAAAGGAGAATGGAAGAGAATAGACTGCGGCATGGCCATCCTCCTGGGGGGTGATTTTTCGCTATCTCCGTCTCTTGGGTGAGAGCATGTGCCCTATAGCAAAAACCTCTTATAAATAAAAAAAAAAGAAAGAAAGAAAGAAGGAAAGAAATTGGGAGCAGCAGATGGTGTAATGGTTATGTTGCTGGACTCCCACATAGTTGACCGTGGATCAAATACCTGACCCAGCAGCTTGAAACTCATGCCATGTGTTTGTGCCCAATATCCCAAGAGGAGAATGGAGAAAGGACTGTGGTGTGGCCACCGCCCCCCGCCCAGGGGCTGGTTTCTCGTTGTCTCTGTTTCTCCGTTGAGTGCATATGCCCGACAGTAAAAATTTCTCTTAAAAAAAAAAAATGAAGGAAACATTTAGAAAGTATTGAGGTTTTTCAATTTTTTTTTTCTTAATTTGTCAGAGTGCAGATGCATTTGCCAGAGAGAGAGTGAGTCAGGGGAGGAGAGAAATAAAGCAGCAAGTAGCCTTCCCCATGGTCATGCTGCAATCTCTTCTCCATTTTTTCATTCTCCAAAGGTGCACAAGTACCAGGTATATTTTTTAGGTTGCCAGGTCCAAAACTCTAAACCATGTGGCCAACCATGTGGACTCCAGCTCCCTCAATGACCAGCCTCAGGCTAGTCCTACTTTCTTATTCTAGTATATATGGGGGGGGGGGGAAGGGGGTATATATGGGGGGGGGGGGGAAATGGTCTAATTTTAAATTTGTGCATTACCTCTGCCTCAGAGAGTTCTTTATCACCGTTTGGCTTGGTGTACTTCTCCTGCATGAAAGGAATCCAGGAAATTTTACATTTTTTAATGAAGGGAGTCACATCTACAGTGCCCAAGGCATAACCACATATGCCATCTTCATCTTCTAGGACAAAGCAGTAGTCCAGACTGAGGGAAAGCAGTCCTCCTACTAATCTGTTCAGAGAGAAAAAGGACAAAGAGAGCTGGTAAGTACTAAAACAAAATTCAGACTCCAAAGATATAAGGCCCAATAAAAATACTCATATGATAACTAATAGAAACTATACTTGGTTTAAAAAACTAAAAATACTTATGTATTAACATTCAGATTCTACTAAAACTGAAGTGGAATGTAAAAAATGTTATTTCCAGTTATTACCTCCCCTCTCTCAATGATAAACCAGGCTATAAAATCACTATACTTCCAAATTCAAATATTCATCACATACTTGTCTCCAATAAGGTCAGGCTGACTTTGAAAAGGTAAACCCACTCCGTCGTCATACATTTCTCTGCAAATCTTGTACACGGATGCCTGAAAATATAATCTCGTTAAGCAATGCAGCATGAGAAATGGCAACAGAATTCTGTCTCTTACGTCAGTGTGGGGAGTAACAAAATGTTTAGCCTATGAGAAATATAACCTCCGGTTTGTTAAACGAAGATTCATTGAGGCAGTCATGAGAGCAGAGATGGTTGGGTGGTGCTGCATGAGGGAGCCGGACAGTGAGCCCACATTTTAATGTTTTCATCTATGTGAACAAGGCATGCTTGTGCACCTGTGATTCTGGATGGCTGGGAGGCTAAGTGAGACTGTGGTATGATAGGACCCTTTCAAGGGTGTCTGTATCAGGAAAGCAACAATGAAAACAAACATTAAGAAGAAAAAAAGACTTATCTATATAATCGGATTTGTGAAACCAGCAGAGAACAGCACAGTTTGGTAAGCAATTGAGAACTGCCCTGGTTTTTGGCAGGAAGTTGTAGATTCAAAAGCCAGCAAACTTTGAGATTGAGAGTTCCTCAATTTTAAGAAAAATTAAAGTTGGGACCAGCAGTTAGCGTAATGGCTATGTCGCTGGGCTCCCATGTAGTCAACCGTGGTTCGAGTTCCAGACCCAGAGGCTTAAACTCATGTCAGGTGCGTGTGCGTGCTTGCCCAAGATCGCAAGAGGAGAATGGAGAAGGGATTGCAGCCTGGACATCCCCGCTGGGGGATGATTTCTTGCTTTCTCTCTGTCTGTCTTTCTGGCAAGTACATGTGCCCTATAGCCAAAAACAAAAAGAAAAAAACAAAAAACACCACTCTAAAACTCATGCCAAGTGCATGCGTATGCGTCCCCAAAATCCCAAGAAGAGAAGGGATTATAGTGTGGCTATTCTGGGGAGGTGTGTGGGGGGTGATTTTTCTCTTTCCATCTGTTTCTGTCTCTCCAGCAAGTGCAGGTACCCTATGGAAAAGTCTCTAAAAAAAAATAAACAAAAATTGGGAACCAGCAGTTAGCATAATGGCTATGTCACTGGACTCCCACGTAGCCAACCACGGTTCATGTCCCGGACCTGGTGGCTTAAAACTCACGCCGGGCGTGTGTGCGTGCATGCCCAAGTTCCCGAGGAGAATGGAGAAGGGATTGCGGCGTGACCATCCCCCTGGGGGGTGATTTCTCGCTTTCTGTCTCTATGTCTCTCTCTGTCTGGTGAGCGCACACGCCCTATAGTGAAAACCTCTCCAAAAAAAAAAGGTAAAAAAAAAATAAATAAATAAACAAAAATTTAAAACCATATAAAAAAGGGACTAGCAGATGGCATAATGGTTATGTCGCTCAACTCCCATGTAGTTGGACTGCAATTTGAGTCCTGGATCTGGCAGCTTACAACTCATGCCGGGCACAAATGTCTACATGCCCAAAATCCTGTGAGAAGAATGGAGAAGGCTTATCCCCCGGGGTAGGGGGTGACTTCTTGTTTTCTGTCTCTTTGGCAAACGCACGCACCCTATAGCAAAAATCTCTCTTAAAAAAAAAACAAACAAAACAAAACAAAAACTTCTGGACTATTTTTGGTGGTATATGTAGGGTACCACTGCCCAATACCAGAGGCACATGAGGCCAGCAGGGTTTGACCCCAGGTTGACCTGTGCATGCTGGGTGTGCCTGCATCTACCTGTGATTCTGGCTTTCCTGGAAGCTACAGAGAGAGTTGCCATATGGTAAGAGCTATCAAAGGTACCTAACCTGCCTGCCTGTATCTCCCCTGGAATAAAGAAAGAAACATTTAAAAAAAAAAATTAAATACTTCATGCCATCAGGTAGTAGGGTGGTTAAAGCAGCTAGATCCCATATGGCTGACAATGAGGTTCCAGTTCTGGACGTGGTGGCTTGAGAAACACATTGGATGTACCTGCCTGCATACCCAAAATCCAGAGAATGGACGGACCTTTGGCCTGATCATCTCTCCCAGGGGGTGCCTTTTTACTTTACCTTTGTCTCTCCCTCCCTCTCTCTCTTGTGGGGACATCTGCCCTGTAGTAAATTTTAAAAAAAGAACACCTACTAGCATGTTTTAAACCTGTCTGTACTGTCTTTATAACAGGTTTCTACTTTTCTATAACTGATTGTCAATATCCTGTAGGCATTTCACCACTGAAAATTAAAACAAATATACTGGGAGAAAATCAGTTAAAGATAACACATCAATGGATACAATTAGGTTTTTTTTTCCCCCAAAGAATTATTTAACTTTATTTATTTATTTTAATTTGACCAGAGAGGGACAGAGAATGAGAAAGAGAGAGAAAGTAAGAAAGAAAGCTGTCAGGTCCAGGACTCAAACCGTGGTCGGCCATGTGGGAGTCCAGCGCCTTAACTACCATGTGACCTGCTGGCCCCACAATCTATTGTTTTGTAATGCTATTCTGAATGTTTCTATCTTTTTTTTTTTTTTTTAATAGGGTGCGTGCACTTGCTGGACACAGAGACACAAGAGAAAGTGAGAAAGTACCCCAAGGGAAGATGACCAGATCATAATCCCTTCTCTTCTATTCTCCTCTCAGGATTTTGGGCACACCATGTATGCATGCACACACACCCTACGTGTTTTCCAACTGCCAGGTCTGGGACTTGAACTGTGCAGCTGGCCATGTGGGATCCAGCTCCCTTATCAACCAACGTGCCAATAACTGGCCTTCACCTGACTTGTTTAAGAGAGAAAATAAAGAACTTAGGATAAGATATTAGGAGTTTAAACTCTTTGGGTTCTTCCTCAAGTTTTTATGTTCCCCCTTTCTGTGTTTCCTATCTTCAGTTAACTTCTCCATCTAAAACTATTTTAGAGCACAGAACAGATTCTTCTCATCAGTGAATTCAAAGGAAAGTTTTAACTATGTATCATAATCACACAAAAAGGTGGTAGGTATACAATTACCTCATCTTTAGGAAAATATGGTCTGATAGTATAAACTTTGGAGGTAGGAGTCAGTGGGGGTGGTTGGAAAAAGAGATCATTTGCCCCATCAATTGGCAGCAAACGCTGTGGGAAGAAAAGAAAGGGACATGGATTAGTACTGGGAAGATATCTATTTCTTTAAATGGGTGTGCACTGCAGATTACCAACTTAATATTAACTGGCTACTGCAGGCAGACCTAAAGAAGAGGGGTATACTATGCTTTACTAATATAAACACCTCTTTGCTGGGGGAGGGGAGTGCTTCTGAGTAGAAATTACCCAAACTTACACAGCTTTAGTGGCATTATTAATGGGGATTTAAATTTATAGTAAAAACAAAACAAAACAAATAACTACTCCAATTATGACAAATCTATTTTTAAAACCAATCATATAGACCATCTCTCTACTAAAAGATGGCAGAACAGAATGTCAGGAGGAGAGGTTTGGTCTGAAGAGGGTTATCTGTCCAGGAGACGCTTTATCCCCAAAGCAATGCGCTTCAGTTTGCTGTGCGCAGCAGAGCACCTGTTGGGGGGAGAAAAGTAGAGCGCTTGAAAAGTCCATGAACAAATTCCAACAGCAAAAAAAACTTATTTTGTCAAAATTTTAATGAATGGACTATTTGTTTAAGCACAAGTTATATTTGTAAAATAATTGGCAAAATGTCCTAAAGCCCTTTCACCATTTGCTTGCACAATTATTCATCCCTTTTGCTCATGGAGATTCCACTGGCAGACAAGCATGCGCGCATTGTGCATTGCGGGCGCAGATTAAATGCTGTGCGACCTGCAAAGAAACAATGTGAAGTGTATACCTAGAGCCGCTGCGCTTCGCAGGCGCGGGGGGATTGGCAGCATCTCCTTCAGAAATTACTGTGAAAGAGGAGGAAAATTTGATTTAAAATCCAGCTATATAACTAAATTGAATTTGGGACTAGAAAGCCTTCGGCAGACCAATCCTTCCAGCCATCTGATGCGCAACATAAGTTTCTCATAAAACAAAGAAAACGTCAATTCAGTTGTGAATTCATATTGATACCTGGAACTCTCCTGCTAGACCACCTCTAAAGGCCCAGGGTTCTTGGTCTCCAATTAAGAACTGTGCTGAAGAATGACTACGACACCCTGTTGAGATCAGATCCAAGCGGAGAACGTTACGAGAAAGGGGATTTCCTGGGGTCTTAAATGTCCAACAAACTAACAAACACTTTGTGGAACTAGCTCTCTAACAACAATAATCCAGGGTTTCAGGGCAAAGCTGTGATAATAATTATTTTTTAAATTTCTAATGGCATTTCAATACCAATGTTCCTTCCTCCAATTAATGAATAATCTGCTATTAGTTTCGCTCTTTCTTTAATTATTATCAGAAGGAAGGAAGCCCCATGCTTGTCTGGGTCAAGTTAATACATTCTTTAGATACTAACATACAAATCAAGTCAGCTATTTGCTCTATCATGAAATTACAGTAAATATAAACAGAAATGAATGAGATATGAATACATTTTTATTATCACAGCCTATGAAGGAATTAAACCTGTCTGAAGTCACATTTTATATTTTGAGGAAGGGTAAGGTAAGGGAAAAAGGAAAGGGGTTAATCTTGTCAGAAAACTATGGTCAGCGGAATCAATACAAGAAATTGTTATTAAGCTGAGAACAATGAGAACTTTATTTTTGGACAAGGACGACCCAAATTCAGCTTTGGCTAGTTATAATACCAGTTTAACAGATTCTGATACATAAGCAGAGCCAACCGAGACTCCTAATTTGCTCAGAGACAAAACATACTTCCCTTAAAAGTATGAAGGTTTTGGCTCTTCTGATCAACCATTAAAATCTTTACAGTGTACTGAACACATGCATGAGATGACAGGCTTTGAAGACCAGAAATCAGTAAAGCTGCCACTTAAACAATTTCACAGGTAGTAAAAGTAGCTAACAACAAGACTATTAAAGGCAAATGTTTGGAGGCCAAATCAAAGTCATCTGCCTAGTTTTCTGACAAGTTAAAGCAGCGCAATATAGTTCTTTTCCATTGGAAGTCAGCATTCTACCTCCTGTTCAAGTTAACAATCTCATCAGTACAAGATATAGTGTGCTAGTCAGACAGTCCCAAAGCAAACCAATTTTTTGTTGACAATTCAGATCTATTAAGAGATTATATTTGGGTTGTCTTTTTTTTTTTTTTGGGGTAGGGGCATTTTTTTTAAAAACATAAATGCAGTATTTGTAATGAAATAGGGTCAAAATTTAGACCATGAATATAACATGCCTCATTCCATAACTCAGTGTAATTTACACTGCAGTAAGAAAGCTATACCTCTCAAACTTTAAAACCAGCCAATTTCCCCTATCCCCCACTTTGAGACTACAACATAACTAGCACTTCCAACTATTACAAGAAGCTGCATGTACGAAGAGCTGTGTAAATGAAAACATGGTTAATGCCTCAATCGCTGCGCAAACGTGACTTCAGTTCATGCTTATTGCCCTTAAATCTATCTGAACTACCTCACAGACAGAACCTTTCAATTTAAACTAAATAATCATGACGCGCTGTGAACATCTGCCGCTGTCCATCCAATAGTAGTAGACACTTGTGCTGAGGATTCTCCCATCTGTACACAATGGGGAAGAAGATAATAGAAGTCGTTAGTAATCAAAAGTACTGCATAGCCACATTCTTTAAAGGACTGAATGCCAGCTGGACTGGAGAGAGGAAGAAAAACAGAAGGGTTCTAATCTGTGACCCCTTGAATTTACTGTAGAAACATGAAAATACTCTCGCTGTCGTGAGCTTTTGTAAAGCTATGTGGATACCAAGACGATTACTTAAAAGTTTTAAGATGTGGCCAGCTGGTGGCATGGTGGTTAGGGTGGCTAAACCCGACATGGCCAGCTGCATGGTTAGTGTCCTGGACTTAGCAGTTTGAAAAATATGCAAGCACATGTCTGCATGCCCCAAATCCTAAGAGGTGAATGAAAGAAAAGGGTTTGCGGCATGGCCATTCCCTTGGGGAGGGTGGTGGTTCTCATTTTCCTTTTCTCTCTCTCTTTCTGTGTGACTCTTTCTGGTGAGCATACGTGCACTAGCACTAAACTAAAAAGTTCTAAGACATTCTGACCTCAAGACTGTACAACAGCTGTGTGTGCAATTTGGGAAAGTTAACCTCCCTAATTGCATAGTACAGAGATAAAGTCAAAGAAAAAATACAGTATATAATCAAGAATGAATTTTTATGACTCCTTGAATTAAAAGATGACTATAGGGCCAGTGAGCGGCAAGAGGGTGATGGTGGCTGGATCCCACATGGCTGACTACACAGTTTTGAATACTGGACTCAGAGGCTTAAGAAATAAGCCAGGCTTGGGGCTGGCAAGTGGTGTGGTGGTTAAGGTACTGGACTCCCACACTGCCGACCACAGTGTGAGTCCCAGACCTGGAGGCTTACTTTCTCAAGTTCCCTTTCTCTCTCTCTGATCGAATTTTAAAAATAATAATAAATGGAATTAAATAAATATTAAAAAGTAAAGAGAGAGAGAGAAAAGAAACACACTGGACTCCTATGTATGTCCAAAATCTTGAGAGGAGACTAGAGAACAAATTGTGGCGTGGCCACTCTCTCCAACCCCCACCTTTCTCTGATGAGCACATGAGCCCTATAGCAAATTAAAAAGAAAAAAGCGGAAAATTAAGTGATATTACTATTTTAAGAGACATATTCCCAAAGTGCAATAATCCAGATTTGGGGTTCAAAAATCTTAGGAGCTTTGGAAATTTAAGACTTAAATCCCGAATTAATTTTAACTCCCTGTCCAGAAGCCTGGAAGGTAAATATTGTCACTTAACAACCAATATATATTGCCCACCTTTAAGAGGTTATCTTGGAGCCCTCTTACAAGGTGGTGGTAAAAATTCTTTCTTGTGGGACTGGCAGGTGGTATGGTGGTTAAAGGTGCTGGACTCCCACAGAGCCGACCACATTTGAGTCTCGGATCTGAGGCTTGCTTTCTCTCTCTGTGTTCCTCTCTGGTCAAATTAAAATAAAGTTAAAAAAAATTATTCCTGGTACCTGTTATGCTGTATGTTATACTACATGTACAGCAAACCAAGAAACTTACAAAATTAACAATCACAGGGCTGGCCCTATGGCCTGGTGATTAAGGGAGCCAGATCCACAAAAGCTGTTCGAATCCTGGCCCCAAGGGTTTGAAAAACACTCGGGGTGTGTGTGTGTGTGTGTGTGTGTGTGTACGCCCCAAATCCTAACAGGATGGAGACTTAGAGAAGAAGGGTTGGAGACATGACCATGCCCCACTGGGGAGGTGTTTTCTCCCTCTCCCTCAGTCTCTCTCTGGAGAGTGAAGGTACCTCTGGCAAAAAAAAAAAAAAAAAAAAAAGATTCTACTTTTTTAGCAACTAGTAACTACGCTATAAGAAAACTTTTTTAGTATTTGAGAGCCAAAGGTTTATAGGCAGAAAGTAAGAAATGTCACTATTAATCCATGTTAATCTAAGCTCACGGTGTTCTAGACACCTATTTCACAACCAAAACCATGAAACCCATCATAATATTTGTGACTACTATGAAAACTATGACATGTCAGTCAGCCTTGCTGCCTGCTGTGTGCTGTATGTAAGTCCATTACATATTCCTTATAGCGGGATTGAAAACCTGGAAATGAAATGAAGACCCTGGAGAAACTTGGCCATGCTGGTGCTTTTTACCAAGTTTGAGAATTAAAAAACAAAAACAAACAAACAAACAAAAAAACCAAAATCACTATTTTCAAACGAGACATAAAAACGTCTATTTAATAAAGCAGAATGATTTTAGGGGACTGTAATTTCCATCCCCTGCTAAAACCAATTACTTGGTAGAGAGACAAAGAAAAAGCCCTATGAAATAATACCAAGGAGCACCAGAATAGCCTTCCACTAAAGCTCGCATGCGCACAGGGCTGGGAGGATAGCTTCCTCTTGCCAGGCCCTTTAGGTCATTTCAGCAATTGTTCTGTTAAACACAGCATTAATGTTACCAAAAGACACAGCAAGCAGCAGAAAGCTTACAGAGTCACGTTTCATAGTGTCTTATCTCCAAATCAGGTCAAAGTGGTATACAGAATTCCATCCAGGAAGCATTCAGTCAGAGCAAGTTAAAGTCAGTACTTTCTAATATAGTTTCAAGATATTTATGCTGAATTAGCCCAAGGGAGAAAAATTAATGTGCTCAATGTAGTTAGACTTTCACCTAAAATCTTCAACAATGCCTATCTTTGAAAGACACCTAGGCACAGAACTGAAAAAGATTTGGAAATTTGCCAATTCCCTAACTGTTTTTCTCCCTGTGGGATAATTCTTTTCAAGGGACAAAATATTTGAGGAGGAGAGATTATTCCTGGTACACCTACCTAACCACTGTACAAAAGACTTCACCATAGACATTATACTCTTGATATCCCAAACATAGGAGTACATGTCATAAAGGATCGTCCGGTTGGCACAGTTGGAGAGTCGAGTGAACATGCCCATAACTAGTCCACACATCTCTTCAAACTTGGCTGCTCGTGACCGCCATTCTTCAATCTAATGAGGAACAATAAAAAGACTCAAAAAAACTGCAGACTTAGCAAAATAATCTAGGACAATTATAAATTATGCTTTTTATGTCAACAGCTATCTATAATTTATCCTAACCACTTAAGTATAACTGGCTTAAACCTAGCTAGGCAATTAGTGTTTCCCAAGCTGACAAACATCCTAAAATAATCAACATGGACTTGCCTCCATTTTTAACTAAGGAACTGAAGTTACCATCTGGCAGAGTCCACATCTACTTTAAAGACAATATCCTAAAACTTGGTCAATTTTATGACAGCCAGTGTACTTATTTAAGAACGTCCTCCATATTACCTGCATGGAGAACCATTCAGGCTAGAGAAGTAGATAAATCGAGCATACTCACTTTCTCAGAGTCTTTTCCTTTGCAATTGACACTGACAACACTGCTATTTGCTCGAAGCCACTGGAATTCCCGTAACATCTGTGCTCCTTTGGGTCCATGCTCATAAGGTAGATAGAAAAGATCAGCAAGTAACTGCAAATCCTCCAGAGTCACTGGTTCTGCAGTGTATAAAGGCTTTTCATTTGGACCTGGCACAAACTGTTCCTTGTTTGTCTGTTCATCAGTCTGCATAGGGGCAATATCACTAATGCAATCTTCCTGCATAGACATCTCTGGAGACTTTGATTCAGCTATGCTCTCTTTATCAGTATCCATTGGTTTTAATTCCTCTGTCATTTTAGCTTCAACAATTTCAGTTAGTATTTGATTGTCATTCTTGTGGTCTGTTTCTTCTTGCTTTTCCACTACCATGTCCATAGGTTCCTCATCCAGCTGTTTCTTTTCTTCTTCCTTGGTCAAAGATGTAGGTTCACCACTTAAGGTTGCTCCCTGGCTCATAATAGGCTCCTGGTAAACTGTTGTAACGACAGTTGTGGCATTTAAAGAGGGTGCTGCAACTAATGGAGTCCCATCGACGACACTTGCTTTAGCTCCACTGTGTGCAACTTGTCTACCTGCCAAAAAAATAAACAAACATAAACATTGAAAGTCAGAGAAAGAATCAGAATCTTTTTGGAGAGGTTTTTGCTATAGGGTGCGTGTGCTCGCAAGAAAGACTGAGAGAGACAGAAAGCAAGAAATTATCCCCTGGGGGAATGGCCATGCTACAATTCCTTCTCCTCCATTCTCCTCTCAGGATCTTGGGCATGCACACACACATGCCCAGCATGAGTTTTAAGCCACCGGGTCTGGGACTTGAACCACGGTTCACTACATGGGAGTCCAGCGACATAGCCATTATGCTAACTGCTGGTCCCAGAACAAATACATTTTGAGAAATAATTTTTTCTTCTCATAACTTTAACTAGAACCTCAGAATTTCAGATTCCAAACAATGTGAGCTCAGAGAAAAGTGGAATTTCTCTAAATCAGCAAGAAGGCAGGCACAGAAAAGGGGGTAGGGAAACAGTTAATAAATTCCTAAAAATATGTAAATATTCATGATTTTCTCTTTTGAAGATTTGTATTTAAAAACAATTTCTCTTTTGAAGATTTGTATTTAAAAACAATTATTCAAAAAAAACTTGAAAATAAATTAGCAATCAAAATCATAGCTATTTAAAACCAAAAGGTTATTGCCAGAGGGCACATGCACTGGCCAGAGAGGAAGACAAGAAGAAGGCACCCCCACAAGGGGGCATGGTCAAGGGGCAGTCCCTTCTCCTTCATTTCACCATCTTGTCAGAATTTTGGACATGCATGCAGGCACATACATGCCTATTTTTCAAGTTATCAGGGTCGGATTCAAACTACTTGATCAGTCATGTGGGATCTGGTTCCCTGACATAATTTGGTCCCTTAACCACTAGGCCATAGGCAAGGGGAAAAAAAAACACACACAAACAAACAAGAAACTAAACCTAATTTGAGTTTCACTTTCTTTAGTGAGCCTAAGGTAAGGTACATGACAGTAACCTTTGTCCTGTAACTCAACCATGTAAGCCAACAGCCTTACAAAAAAAAAAAAGCCAAACTCACTGCTGTACTGATGAGGTACGCCAAATTCCTGTAACCATTCTGTTAAAGCTAGCTTTAGAGCCATCTGTGGACTATAGAGTACATCAGTTTCAATATCTTCATCACTGCCTTCATTTTCTAACTTTATCTGGATTGATACAGTACTGTCTTCACTGTCAGCTGAAAAAAAAAAGCACAAGAATAGTTTGATGACAAAAGCTTTCTGACAAATAAGAAATAAATGCAGCTAGTTGTATAACCACAGAAGCAAAGTACTAGAACCAGAACAAACCTTAAATATAAAATACAAACACAAGCAAGACCTTCACTGAATCATTTCACCTAGAACAGTCACCTAAATGCACTGTTAAATTAAAAAATCCAAATTGAAGTAAGAAATGTGAATTTTAGAATCATTGGAAAAGTCAATCATAAATTTTCACTGAATACCAATTATTCCAAACTCAAGTTTACAGGCACCATATGTTCCATAAAGAAAACATTCCCTGGCTGTCAGGGGCTTGTAACGTGTTTTTTT